CACGCTGTACCTTAGGTGCTAGTTTGTCACCACACCGGTCATTATTTCATCACCATATATATATATATTCATAAAACATTTCATTGTTCCATAGTGAGTAGTGAGTGATGATGTATGTTCACCAAACCTGTCATTCCATGCTGAACCAGAATCACAAACCAACACCATTTCATTCGTTAACACTTGAAAATTGAAACCAATATTGAGCTGAAATGCCAGAACATGATATTTGGCATCCGCTTCCAACAAGCCTTTCCTGACCCGGGTCTTGAAAGACGATGCGTCAAACTCCAGGCTCAAGGATGTCATGAACGGCTTTTCCTTGGTACTAGTACAGGTGTTAGTGATAGCCTGATTTCAAGTTCGAGGTTGAACATCAAGAAAACAATTTCACAAATCAACACAAATGATTGGATACACAAATGTTAGACAAATGTAGATGTGTGTCAAGTGTCAATTGTACAGTCATCGCAACAATAAAACTGAAAATCATACTCTCCACTGGTTTGCACTGGATGTGAAACACAATGTGTCAATTCAAGAATTCTCAAAGCACTCGCAAAATGAATGAACAAAGTATCAACCGGCACTTGGCCATGGGCTTGCTTTTTGAACCGACTAATGATTATTGTCTAAGGCACATCTTGGCAGAGCTCGCACGCTCGTTGCAACATAGTCGAAAAGAACTCGCACAAAGAAGCCCTCACCTGAATTGGCTGCTGGAATTTGTAGCGACATGTCCTGCTTATTTTATGTTGGTTGATTGTTGGTACTGAGTCCTGACTCATGACTCTAGTTATGGTATGTTATGATTAGTCATGAGTCATGAATTCATAAGATATGATAACATGACAAGTAGAAATCTATTTAATTATTAATTTAGTCTATTTAGTCTAATTGAAAGCAACCTCCAAGTAAACAAATTTAGATAATCCACAAGTAACCAAATGACTCGACAAGTACCTACTTATCAACATGGACCAGGGACAAAGAAAAGAACCTGCACGTGTTGTCGAGCAACTCTTCCGATGTGTGTCGTGCAAGCACTCATCCAAAAACTTAAAGAGTTCAAGCTGAACATGGTTGGCGACTTTTGTTGCTGCTTTGGGATCTTAAACTGTGGCTGTGCAGACTCACTTCCGCTTCCACGAATAGCACTGAGGCGGATTGCATTGCCTAGCCTTTGTTGGAGCAATGTCACATACATCGTCTTACTAAGAGAAACGATGTCTTAGCTCAACTAAAAGTCTAACATAGAACCCTCCAGTGGCTGGTTTGGCCACGTACTTCCCATACTTAAATCACAAATGAACATCTGTATGACTGTATGAGTTCTTAGTGCTTAGCATACAACTACCGCTCAACTGCAATACCAAACACAACAAGAGAAGCCAAACAAGGTGCGAGAAACGATGCTCGAAGCATAGCCTGAGTGGTCCATGTCTTGTACTTACCACGCCCCTTGACTCCGCTTTTCCGACGCCCATACCGGCCAGACTCCAAAGCTCTGGCAACATCCGCTTGACGGATAGCGTGCTTCTCCACATACTCATGGACAATGCTCCTGGTGGTTGTGTCGAATATAGATGTTGGGAGGTCAAGTCTAAGCGCCTAAGATGAAGTCGAAGCCTTAGAGAAACTAAAAGATGAGTCAAGTCGGCTGCAATAAGCTAGTCAAAGTCAAAATGAATAATGAAGGCTCCTGTAGCGTTCTAGGCTGTTTTTTGCCTTTCTTTGCGCCGCTGCAAACACACGACCTGGGCGTAGCGCAAGCTGCTCAAAAGATTTGTGTGTGTGAATCCATCTTGGAGCAGAAGGGTTTTCTGATCTCATTTACTGTTTGCTTCTTTCTAGGTTCCAGATTCCAGATTGATGATTCATCATTTAATCTGAATCTAATCCTTGTCTTAAGTCTTATATCCTTGTCTTACAAACGCTAGGCATTGGGACATCAGTTGAGTTGAGCTGCATCACTTTGGGTTTTCGACACGATCACGCTGTGGTCTGCTCGCCCCAAAGCTTAAAAGCATGGCAGTCCTACAGATCATGCCTGGACTCAAAATATATTCTCAAGCAAGGTAGTCATGTTGACCCCTAAATCCTAAATCCAACCTTTGAGGGGGAAAGTTGTATGAATGAATCCAGAAGATCTCAAATGAAAGGCATGTTCACATATACACTATGAGACTACATCCATGGTCCATAACAGACTACATCCATTAAATCACTCAGTCTGAGTGTGATGTGTCCGTCAGCTCGTACTTCTCGTAGGTCTCACAATTGTGATCACGCGTCAGCTTTGTCCTTGCAGTTGCTCTGAAGTTTCCCGAGTTTCCTCGTCATCACCGGCCTCTTTGGTATAGGTGATGGTGAGAATGATGCCCTCAACTGCGTAATCGACCATGGTGATGGTGGTGTTGGAGAGATTTGACTTGCAGTCAGGCGGACACCCTCATCACTGCCACTGCTCACTGTCACAGCACTTGGACTCTTGACATGTTTGTCTTCATGTGAGCATTGTGAGTCAACTTGTGAGTCTTCCTCCATGTGTTCCTTCTTATGCTGCTTCCATTGTTGCTTGGTGAGAGGAGACTTCAGGTCATGGTCAGGTGTTGTCCTAATCCTTTTCGGAGGAGGTGTTTGCATCCCATCAAGACCATCAGCATTGTGATTCACCAAACGAGGGGGTGTTGTGGTCATAGGCAAAGGCGGAGAGGAAGGTGAGGGTGAAGGGTTTGCACCATCGATCAGCTGCCTTCGCACCCATGCTTGCGGAGGATCAGTTGGCAACCCCTTCATGAACTGATCGCTAACCCTTTGGCGCACATGTTCTGGTGTATCGATGCGGATCAGCTCATACTTTGTTGGGTTTCCAGGACATGATGGACCTGGTTCAAAGATAGCATTCATCATTTGTCTTTCTCTCACCACTGATCGAGGCAAATCACCGCCTTGACTGCCAGGCATGGCTACCCAAAAGCAGCCTAGGAACACGATCTAGAAGGCTTGACAAATCTGACACGGCTGCGCATGCAACAAGTTTATATTCGCGCACATCAACTAGTCTACAGTCTACAGCTTGCAGTCTAGGGTCTATGACCCTCGAATCTATGTTTAAATTCTGAAACTGAAAACCAAAGATTCTGGGGCATCCACATTTCTTCAAGAAAGTTCCATGTCGAATTCGGCGATCTGGACGGTCACGTTCCGCACGTAGCAAGATCTCTCCGAGTTCGCTTGCCATGCTTTCGCCAAACTGCTACACATAAATGGTGTTGGTGTTTGTTGCTGTGGTGGGGAGTCAACAGTCTGATTTAGGAGTTTATGATTTGCCTTGTTTGTTGCTGCGCCGCAGATTTCCAGGGTTGCAAGCATGTTGGCCCTTCAATGCTGGCCCTTCAGCTTGAAATACAAACAATGTTGAAGGAAAACACAAACATATCTTGTTGATTCAGAATTTGGACCATCAGGCACACATGAACCACTCTAGTGTCATCTGGTGCTTATTGTTTGTTGTTTGTTTCTTAGTTGTTTTCCATGTTGTTGAACATATGTCTGTGGGTTTGGTCGGCCGGAAGCGAATGTAACCAATATCAGTTCTGACAAACAACCCACACACAACAATCAATACAAGTGCATTCCAAATGGCTTCATGTGTTTGCGTCCTGTGTCCAACAAATTGCAATCGTTGAGTCAACTCAAAATCGACCACAACCATCACATGGTAGATTGCACAGACTCTTCTCTACACCATTACATACACCAGTGCACATATGAATCCTACATCGTACAAACGGGTATTGTACACCGCACGGATCACCGTACACATGTATCGTACACTGCACGGACCACCGCACACATGTACCGCACACTGCGCGGTACACCGCGCAAGTCATTGTACACTTGCTTCGTTCATAGCAACCGCTCGGCACGGTCACAGCTCACCATAAACATAGGTTCACATGGCTTTCAAATTTAGATAACTCTAAAGCAACAAAAACAAATGAAAGTGCCGAGCTCACTGTGAAGTTCAAACAGTCAAGGCCAAATCTTCTGCCTAGCTGCAAGTCGTTGAACCTGGTCAATTGGCTTTCGACCGTGATGGTCATTGGATAGCCACCAAAGTACCATACGCGCTGGTTGTGCAAAACAAACGAAAAACCACTCCGGTCTTGTGGGACAGCATCAGCGTAGAAGACATCCCAATTCTTTGCCTCACAAACAACAGAGACTAGTAACAAGGGCATCGCTACTAGCAGCAAGGTGCAACGCTACTAAGAGCGAGAAGCTACTAGTAGCTCCTGGCATTACTACTGTAACAAGTGCATCGCTACTAGTAGCTTCTTGCTACTAGTTACTTGTAGTAATGTCCTTGTTACTAGCAGCGATGAACTTGTAGTAGTTTCGTGTTACAAATCTGACAAGTTGTGTCCTCAACGAATGAGCAAATGAGCATCTTGGGATGGTGACATGCGACGGGAATCCAGACAAGAACATCCGACCCAAACGAAAGCCATATCCGATATCCCCGTATTTGTCATCTAAAGCCGTTGCCAACTTTGTTGTGGGGACAACCACATGAGACTGGTATTTGAAGGCACTTCAGATTTGGAAGAAGAGATCTGTGCCTGGACAAGCAAAAGGGTGCTCCATGCCAGCAACGCATTCTGCAGCCCATGCGCCATCAATTCTGCACGGAATTCTTCAATCAATTTTGGACTTCTTTCCAAACCTTTGCTTGTAGACAGTCAAGGTGTGCTGGCAAATCTGTCAAGCAGTTGGATTAGAACTCTACCATTCAAGAAGAACTTCTAAGACTCTAAGATAGACTTTCCCGTGATCATGGACCTGCTCTTAGCCATGATGAGTCCCTGGGAATCAGGAGGAAAAGGAAGATCAAATCAAACGGTATTTGGAGTTGGATTAGTCAAGCCATGTCACACCATCTCCTCAAGACTCAAAGAAATTTCCGATCAACCCAAACTCGCAACCCCGTACGCCTGGCTGAGTTTCTGTCAGGGCCTCGGGTGTGGGTGGGCTGTCTCTTATCTGTTGGCATCCTGAGCACGGTTCTCTCAGCCCAGGCTCCTGACCATGAAACTCATTTAAAACGTGCCAGAATAATTAGCAACAAGAAAATACTGCAACCGCTTCAACTGAGAAGAGTGCGGGATTGGCAGCGCTTCTTCCTGGCATGCCAACTGCATTACGCACTGGAATTCTTGAAGCAGTCTGTCAGACTAAAGTTGAGGCAAATGTTTATCAAACTGCTGCCCCTTTTGGCTTTCCCATTCTACCAAGCGCATATGATCTTAGTCCCAACGCATAGCGGATGCCCTTTTCTTTGCCCACAAAAAAGAAAAAAAACAAGAGCGACAACCAACAGTTCAATGAGTCCCTGCCTTCAGAGGTGTGCACCTAGTGCTGTGGCCAGAATCACGCACAAATACAAACTAAACATCTCGCGCAGAAAAGACACCTCCGGAGTGTCTTTGTACTGAAACTCTCAGAAATGCCTTCTTCCAACCCTTGGCTCTCGAAGGGCAGAGCTACAAGTAGAAAAATTGATTCTTCGATGATATTCAATGTATGGGTAAGAAGTGACACACCAGAGTCCTGTCCTGGTTTAACGCTGCTGTTCGGGTTACGGGGTTTCTGTGAGGCACTTCCGCGGTAGAAACGTAAAAAAAATGATAAAACAAAAACATATCGTGTTGCCCAGGTCTGTCGGCCAATTCTTTTTACCCCAGGCGCGGAGCAAATCGATAATTGTCATTTTTACCCAGTTTGCAGGGAAAAAAGGAATGGACAAATGATCACTTCAAAGGATCACTTATGATCACTTCAATCCGTTTCGCTTCACTACATACCTCTCGCTTCAAGTCCTTCCTTGCGTTTCAAGCATATCCATGCGTCGCTCCTTTTCGTTTCAAGTACTGTACAGTACAGTAGTTCCTTCTTGTTTCAACATAATCCTTTCGCTTCAAGTCTGACGTTTTGTTTAGAGGGCTTCTTTTTGCTTTGAACCTATCCTTTCATTTCGCGTTCTGCTTTCTATTTGTTCGTTTCAAGTCACCTCTTCTCGTTGCAATTCTAGTCACAATGTCTTCTTGGTTTTTGTTAAGTCTGTTTTTGAAACCTCAATTTCCTAAAATTATGTTCACCCTTTCATTGTATGTGTTCTTCCTTTTTGGTGTTTCAATTCTAACCTTGTTTTAGATCATCCCTTTGCGGGTCTACTCCCAAAGCTTGTCTAACTACCGCAGCAAAAACAGCAAAAAAAAAAATCATAGACCTGTTTCTGGACCAAAGTTTGACCAATCTCCACGCCTGTATAGATTGCAATTATGCTTTCTAATGGGCTCGGGTCCCTCGGCTAGGATTTTCCAAAACCAAAGACGTGGGGTACTCCAGGTAGGTCTGTACGACAAAATGTACTAACAACCATGCAACCACCGAGTCAGAAACACCAGGTTGAGTCACGGCCAACTCGTAGTGAATTAATGCCACGAAAGTGTCAAAGGCAAGAGCTGTCAAATCATGTTTGGTTCGAATGCATGTCTTGACCCTTTGATACAAACTATGACGAAGTAGAAAAGGAATATCTGCTTCCAAACTTTCATTTATCTCGGCACAATCAAGCACTGGTTTGAATGGCACGCGAAACTGGTTGGAATGGCACGCGAACGTTTAGCGGATAAGGCTGATTCGGCATCGAAGAGTAGCCGGTGGCGAGCTTACATGCAGTTTGGGCATGCTGCTAATGAGACTGTTTTCTTACAGCAACGATACATTGAAACACTACCAAATATCGCACAACTGCTCTTAAATTCGACGCTTGGCTTGGTGCCACAAACTTTTAACTTTTGGTTTTTGCATGCAGTTCTACGTGTGGCAAAAATCATTTGGTATTGCATGACCCTTATCCTTGTCATGAATCCACGTGAGAAGGCATCTACCTGCGAACAGTGTGAAGTGAATGGCTAACTCATACCACGCAATGCCGCCATGCCACAGTCTTTATATCAGATATCTGGATGTGCCACGAGAGATTCTGGAAAATCTGTTTTTGACCGCTTTCTCAACCAAAATTTGACCAATCTTCTCTTCGGTAAAAAAGGTAAAAATGTTGTCTTTTTTGTGTTTGACGGCATTGTCCAAGTCCCTCAGCTATGGATTCTACCGAAAAACACTGTAAAAACTGTCAAAGGCTAAAATTTGACACAGCTCCCGGTAAAAACAGCAAACAACGAACAAATATATAATAGGAGTAAAAAATCCGCATTGCCCGAGTCCTTCAACTGTGAATGTTACCGAAAGGCGCGGTAAAAACGGTTCCAAAAAAAAACGTGTGGTTACTGGTTTTACAATTTTCTCTGCGGGGGGTTCGAGCAGGTACCTCTTAGTAAAACAAAATGGGCAAACCGACTTATCGACACATCCGAACTGCGCTAAGTTTGTTTGAACACCACTTTGGCGGTATGTGTGGTATCGGTCATTGGTTCATCCTTTGCCGATCAGCCTCACTGAAGATGGAAGACCTTGGCTTGACAAGCAACCGTCTATGTTGCCACAGGGCATCGGAGACATGCAAAGAGGAGACTGTAAAGAATCATAAGCTGGGCAAGTACTCACTGCAAAGATGACAGGAGTGCAAAGACAAGGGGACTTGAAGGTCTCCAACAGGCTTCAACCAAACAGAAATTGCTTCGGTTCTGCATTTCCGTCAGGTGGGACCTAGATGAGCTCGCGGCACAGCTTCCCTTTCAGCTGCAGGCCACAGGTCCGTTAGAGCCTGTTTATTTCGTGAGATGGCTGTGTTTCAAGGCTGACGCAATTGCTTCACAGTTACATCAAGGTGCAATTATGAATCAATATTCAGCTGAGTGTTGATGAGAATTTTCCTTGAAAGAAGTAGTCTTCTTCAAGCCTTTCAATTGTCAGCTCTCTTCAAGCATGACTGTACAGTTCTGCTTGAAAGACCTATCACCGAACATAGGGATCTGTATTTAATCTGAGATGGCCGAAAAGACCAGTGTGGTGCCGGACTGGATCCCTTGCAAATTGCCAACCAAGCCTGCCACCGCTCCATTGAGGATGGCCTTCAGAGTACTTTCGCAAGATCAACTGCCAGGAATACCCTCTCAAAGACTCCAAACAGAGAAAGTCAATGAAAAGTGCAAAAACCAATTGGTCACTTGATCCCCATTCTGAGACGCCACCACGCCTCAGCCCAGGTTCTTCACGGGCCTTCTTCAGAAGTAGTCGCCTTGGTCGCTGAGTCACTGTGCTTCTTCAACTCGACGAAAGCAATCACAAGAAGATCTGGTTCTTTTTAGGCATGCACTGAGTGTAGCTTCTAGCTTGTTCATTCTGCCGCAGCAAAGCCTGCACCAGTCGGATCTTCCAATTGCAACCCAGGAAATAGAACTTATAATGTTGTCTGTACTGCATCCACACAAAGCGGCAAGCGCCACCTGGAGTAGAGTCCATGAGCTTGAGGCCTGGCAGTTCCCGACATTGAAAGGTCACTCTGTTGTAGCGGGGTCTTGGCACGACTTTGTTCTGTGGAATCCGAAATAGCGTGCCTACCAACACCAGTCACAAACGAAAGTTAAATGAACTTTGTTGCAACAACGGTCTCAAGAACAACAAAGAAGGAAAAGTGCAAAAATATGATGTGGCTATGTATGGGACTGCGTCAAATCAAGAACAAACAAGTCTACCAGGGATGCTCCATGGTCTTCAGGATTCTTCGCGGTTTCAGATTTGATCCGAGCTGCGCCGGGTCCGAGGTGCTTCGCCGCGCCTCCTGACCGTCTGCTGGTGGGCTGTCAGGAAAGCCCAGGCCTGTGAAGAGGCTTCGGTCCTGAGCCGAATCACACGATCTATCGCCAGGCTGTTGTCCTTGGTTTTAGTTTCAAATATTGTTGGTTCCTTGGTTTTTCAATACAAACAAACTGTGTAGCGTCTCACAAATGGCAAGGCTAACCAACTCAAGCTGCATCCAAACTACTACAGCACCGTTCTGCTGCGCCAGAAAGCTCTCGCATTTATCGCGATCGATCAGCATTATTTTTTTGCTGGGGACTCCACAATGAGCCGTTCAAAGGCGTTCATCACAACCTCTACCGAGGGGTGCGAAAATCAACTGAATGGATTTGTCTTCGACAAAAATGCAAAATCCATTGAAACTTCTAGCAAACCCGGGGTTCATCAGGTTCATCCCAAAAAGCTGTGTCTTCCGGGCGCACACTTTGCAGCAACACAGAACAATCCCTTCAGAAGTTTCCAGTTCAGACATTCTAGTCTGTAGCCACCCTTTGTTTCAGGCAAACAGCATCAAAAAAACAAAGACCCAGAAACAAAGATGGATTCTCCTCAGTTCTACGTCCACATTCCGACACCAGGCCTGCCATCTGGCCTCGTGCAAGCACTTTTGCAGCTATCCCTCACTGAGATCACCAGCCAGCACATGATTTGGAGAAAATGAGTGCAAAGTGATGTCGAATTTGTTTTTTTCAATGATCCATCCGAGGCTCCAGCTCTCTAGCGCAAAATGGGAAGCCGCTAAATGAATATGCAGCACTCACTCCCCACAAAAAACTGATGTGATGTTATAATCCAACCATGCCTGCACCACTTGTCTGATAAATATCTCAGGGGGCATGGCAATTTCCTTGGGCACGCCGTCGTCTATCAACAGGCAAGGAAAATCAATGACAATGGGTTCCTTTTTGAGGCGGTTTGTTTTACTTGGCTGTTGGTTTGTTCAGCCCATCCGCAACCATTGTGCCAAGTGGGTGCTTTTCACCCGCGATAAATCTTGCGGTTGGAAGGCAAACATCCAATAAAGAACAAAATGGCTGTGGACCAGAAGTACATGACTGGCCACCCTCAGCAACTATTCCTAACACTTCACTTCCGTGGCTTCGCTGAAACCCACCGGGGGCCGCAGGGTTCAGTTGATTCACTTGATGTAAGACCCGGACTTGCCACATGTCAGATGTCGTCTAACAAACATCATTCGTTCAACCGCGTACCATTTGGAGTACAAGGACCGGCTTTGAAAATTGCGCAAAAACAAAAACTGTTCTGCTTCGTTCCCCTAAACCGAACCTCAGAGATTTTCTCTCATGATAAACACGTCGGAACAGGTCTCCGAACAAGTTCCGGGGAAGTTCCCCAGCAAGTTCCAAAGCAAATTCCAGAGCACGTTCGGAAGCAAGTTCCCGACCAGGTCCCAAAGCAAGTTCCGGAGCAAGTTTGCGAGCAAGCTGGGAGCAGGTTCCGGAACACTTTGCAGATACGCTGTGTCTCTCTGATGCGCTGGGTGTTGCCAGGCCGATGGGATGCGCGGACTCACGTCGAAAACGCTTGCAATTGTCTTGTTGGCTTGGGACGATGGGTTCTATGTTTGACAACCTCAGAATTTTTTGCAAACGTCTTGCTGGTCCAGGACGAAAAATGTTAAGTTTGACAAGTTCATAGCCTTTGAGGCCACAGGAACTGACATCGCATCAAGATTTGAGCTGGCAAACCCACGCGCAAGCATCGAAGGTGCAATGAAAGATCGAATGGCAAAAACTGATACAAAATGCACCCTGGTGGTGTCAAGGGACGGCGGTGGGTCAACGACAAGTGCGAATGGGAACTTTCTGCCCACCACTTTAACCAAAACGAAGGGATGCATGTTTGATATGATTTCAACACCCGCGAGTATTCTTGCGACTGCTAACCCTAAAGTCTCGTGTGTGATCACACTTCGCGTATGCCCCTCACCCAAAAGATCGACGGGGCCCCGCTACCATGTGAAAACACATTTTTTTTTCTCTCTCTCTCTCTCTCTATCTCTCTCACTCTCTCTCTCTCTCTCACACCCTCTCACACTCTCACACTCTCACCCTCTCACCCTCTCACCCTCTCACCCTCTCACCCTCTCACCCTCTCACTCTCTCACTCTCTCACTCTCTCATTCTCTCACTCTCTCACTCTCTCTCTCTCTCTCACTCACTCACTCACTCACTCACTCACTCACTCACACTCTCTCCCACACGCTCTCCCACACTCTCTCACTCTCTCTCACTCCTCTCACTCTCTCAACACTTCAGACTCAACAGTGGGACGGTGCCAAAGACAAAGAGGTTGGCAGAGTGGACCTTGGCAGTTTGTGGCTGGAGGCTTGGATTCATGCTCCAGCGGGAAAAAATTGGCCGCAAAGGGTGAAAAGAAGGACCAAAAGCCAGATTCAACAGAAATCTAAATTTGCAGGCTCAGTGAAACTTTGATTTCGCCGGCTCTTGATCACCACCTTCACGACCACATGTGGTGCCATCAAAAAAGCAAACACGGCCGGCGCTCCTTTTTGGACAACGGGGGCGAGCTCACGGGGTGAGCTCACAGTCCTTGGCTCTAGGCACGGGGTCTGGCCAAGGAGGGTGCTTTTGCAGCCACTGCTTTTGACTTCTCAGCCATGGGTATGCGTTGAAGCATTGCTCAGGGCAGCATGCAAGACGTTCGTTGCTTGCACTGATGGAGTTGGACGAAGGAGGGTGCTTTCAATGCACTCCTTCTGAGATCTTATCCGTCAGTGTGCTTCGAAGGTGGCTCCTGACATTGCTGAGGGCAGCCTGCAAGACTGGCTGGGCTAGGACTGACCGAGTAAAGCATGCTCGAAAACTGTGGCAGGGCTGTTATGCAGGGAGGGTGGGTGGCAATTTTGCGAGCCAGACTAAAAGGCGGCCCACCCACCCTCCACTCAAGCCAAGAATCAGTTCGTCATGAGAGAAGATGCCACCCGGATAAGAATATCCTGACATGCTGTCTTGAAAACTGCATCGCTACGCGAGTTTCGTCTTCACGACCACATGTGGTGCCATCAAAAAAGCAAACACCGCCGGCGCTCTTTTTTGGACAGCGGGGGCGGTGGGAGCAGTTCTATCCAAGATTCACACTCGAAGTTATCACACATCAAAAAGGCATTGTCTTCCGCTTGTATCCCCCTTCCTGAGTCTGCTTCGTCTAGCTTAGTGAAAAGTGTGAGCTGCTCACAGCCGCAGAATGCTCTAACGCCAAGGTATCGAAGCATCGGCGGAGTGACGACTTCTCGAAGTGATGTGCAGCAGAGAAAGGCTTCCTTGCCAATTCGTCGAATCTTGGGCGGGAGCCAGATATCGACCAGGGCAACACAGTACGAGAAGGTGGAGCCCCAGATGCGGTGATGTCCGTGCACATAAGGTCGACCTCAATGAGCCGCTTGCAGTTCTCACACGCTTTTGGGCCGATGAAGTGAAAGTCCGGAGGAAGGCGGAGGCTTTCGATGCCAGCTCCACAGAAGCTGCCATCTGGGAGGGCCCGTGATTTATTATTATTGGCCATTACGAAATCAACTGACGTGAGTGCCAGGCAGCTCTCAAAGGCGAATGGCGCGATTTGCGCCCCTGGAGCCAGTGCATTGATGGCTTCCTTGCCAGACCTATCCTACTGAGCGAGCAACATTCTGCAAAGACTCTCCGACCAAATTGGACACACCCTGGGGCTGTGATCTGACTGAGCGCATAGCATCCCTGAAAAGCCCCATCTTGGAGACAGACTACGGAGGACGGCAGTTTGACAATCTGCAGCTGATGACAGCTTTGCCATGCTGCCGATCCAATCTGGGTGATTCCTTGTGCTACCTCGACATGGCGAAGCATGGGCGCAGAGTAGAAGGCCCTGTCCGGTACCTCCTTTCGATCATTAATTGGAACTCGGACTGCCTTGGGATATCCTTCCCTATTCCTATTTTGAAACTGCCAAACTGAGTGTCCTTCCTCGATACAAGGTCTGACAATCACCTGGAATCTGTTCTGCGTAGAGTGGATGGGATCTCGCAATGACAACTTAGTGTCCGGCATGAGTAAGTCTACTTCGCATCCGAACACTTCGACATCAGCAACAGTTGGCAGAAAACTGACAACGTCGTCTTCTAGTTGCGACAGGTCTTCATAGTGCGCAAAGTTTGCAGGCATGCGGTATTCATTGCCCGCAAGCGTAACCAACACAATGACATGAGGCTCATTGCAATCCAGCTGCGCATCTTGCTGCTGGAGGTGCGTCATGGCGGCGCTGCTCCCTTGAGCCTGAAATGCTGTCATATTCTGGGTCATGTTTCGACACAACACCACCAGCAGAACTCGCGCTCAAAATTGGAATGCAGTAGCTGAGGCCACAACATTCTACTACCATTGGCAGAGGATACCTTGGTCTCTGCGGTGGAAGAGGGAGGTTGCGATTAGGAGGGCGGGCAGTGGAGGAGGAACTACCAGTGGGGGCAACTCGACGAGATTTGTTTCTGGTCCTTCAAATCTTGGCGATGGATTTCCAGCTTATTGAGGAAGGTAGGATCTCCTGTGAGCCAATAGCTCATCGCCTGCCAGTCCTCATTGTTTTTTCCACGAGTGCGGACGCCATGTGGGCGGTGTGCCCAGGTCATCGTAGAAGGATTGGAAACTCTGCATATTGGTGGGGGAGGCAACCCAAAAACAAAAACCGACACTAAACAACCAAACAAACAAAACCACCCCAAAACCACAAGGACACAAAGACCCCAACGACCAATGCGGGCAGAGTTTCTTCTGTACTAAGGTGAAACATGTGAAGAATGAGAGACTCAAACTACCTAAGGGCCTGAATTCTCGACGAAAGCATTACCAAATCTGGACGTAGGCGGTTGTCCACGCAGGCCAATCAAAGGTGGCCTTCGTGTACAGGCAAGGTAAATGTCATCCTTGCCAGCCTCGGTCACAGGCACTTAAGCTGGTGCGAAAGTTGCAGCACAAAAGATGACGATTGCCAGAGGTCATCAGTTGCAATGCTGTGCTGGCCTTGGAAAACAACCTCTCAGAGGCACAACCCCTATAAAAGACTGCGCGAACGAAGAGGCAGTGGCCCGTCTTGAATGCGGCGGTGAGAGAGATTGCAACAACAGGTGCGGCTGCAAACAGCTTGACGGCCTCCCTCCCTCAGGGGGAGGCGCAACACACCTCCCAATTGGCTCCCGGGAATGGTCAAGGAGCCTGGGGGGGCGCTCACTCTTCCAATGCGGCGGATAGCTCCCGACGCGCAAGGCCCGGGTGAAA